GTAGGCGCCTTATGAACCTCGAAAGTGAAAGTTAATGTAATATTTTGTTAAATAGAAAAACAGCAAAACACAATTTTTTTTATTTTTATTGTTTTTAATTTTTTGATTTTTCTATGGGAACTTTATTTTATAGATTTTAATTTCTTGTTTAATATTTTAATATAATTAAAACCAAAATTCCTTAGTATTTAAATATTACCCAATCACAAAAAAAAAAAATAAAATAAAAACAACAAAGTTTTTTTTAATTTAATTTTGTTTTTCCTATGGGAGCTATATGATATAGTCGCCCGATCCGGCGCTTTCCTACTTATTTACCTGCAGTAGAAAGATAACTTTTGGGAAAGTTTCAAGCAGATACTTTAAAACTGAGGGACTAGTTTGCGTAGAAACGGACTGACGGACAGACGGACATGGCCAGATCGACTCTCCTGGTGGTGCTGATCAAGAATATATATACTTTATAGGGTCGGAAATGTCTCCTTCACTGCGTTGCAAACTTTTGACTGAAATTATAATACCCTCTGCAAGGGTATAATTATGTTTAATTTGAAGATCAAGAAAATATATACTTTATACGGTCAGAGAGGTCTCCTTCACTGCGTTGCAAGGAAGTCTGCCTTGCAAAAGCAGTTAAAAAGTGGGTCTTTAGATTGCGTAAGTGGTGCCTCAAAGAACAAGCCCACTAAGTGACATAGTAAATTCCAAACATAGTTCATTTAATAAAAAAACTTTAAATTTTGTATTTGTGGACCAGGTTGCTCCAGGTACTTTGAAATTTTCTAAAATTACCAACCGATCCGTATCAAACCGCCCCATACAAAAATAATTGGATCGCGGAAAGGTGATATAAATAATCTGGGAGTTTGGACTATAAGGAATTATTGACCTCTTTCGACGTGAAGTTAGAGCCTACTGCAACCAAATCTCTCCATCCTTTTCTGGAAGGCTGATAAAGCTAGCAGATTTCTCACTTGGCAAAAACATCTTAATCAAATTGCCTAGAAGACTTGCAAAGCTCTCAGCAGTCCCCAGGACAATCAAATAACAAAATGGAAACTATGATGTTTACCCTACAGCAAAGCATGATAGAACTAATGTCATTCATAGAAACGACTATACTCAACAATTGGTCAAAACCGCAGTTGCTCGTAGCAAAACAGTCTAAATAATCGATACATAGTCAACAAATATCAATTAACTTGAATTAACACAATTTCTGAACGAAAATCAGCTCACACTGGTGACTTACTAGCCCCAAAAATGCTTGTCGAACTTCCAAACTGTACCATTAGGAGATCAATGAAATCATTTCTACTTCCAAAAGAAATAGAAACGAGATATGCCCAAATAAATAAGAATTGGAAAAATTTTTGTTAGTAGCTTACACACTGCGCGAAATATTCTGATAATCATCAAATATGGACCGATTTCACCCTATTGTTCCTATGGGAGCTATAGGATATAGACGTCCGATCGGCACGCGCTTTCACCTTAATCAATGTATGCATAAAAAAATACGATTTGGAAAGATTCATGTCAATAGCTTGTATACTGCGCGAAATATCCTAAAAATCATTAAATTTTAACCGATTTTACCCTTTTGTTCCTATGGGAGCTATAGGATATAGACGTCCGATCGTCACGCGCTTTAACCCTGATCAAGGTACGCATAAAAAAATAAGATTTGGAATGATTTATGTCAATAGCTTTTACACTGCGCGAAATATCTTCCATTCTTGCAAGTTATATCCGATTGTTCCTATGGGAGCTATAGGATATAGACATCCGATCGGGGTGGTTTTCAAACTTAATCTGCGTACACTTGTTTTAGGACGACTGTGAAAGTTTCAGATCGCTAGCTTTTAAACTGAGCTCGCAAACGGTATTGAAACAGACGGACAGACGGACATGGCTAAATCGACTCCCCTATTGATCCTGATCAAGAATATATATACTTTATACGGTCGGAAACGTCTCCTTCACTGCGTTACAAACTTCTGACCAAAATTATAATACTCTCTGCAAGGGTATAAAAATGTATCATCATAATAATACCGAATTACGGAAAAGTTCACACAATTTCGTCTTGATTGTCAACTTTTTTTAAAAATGCCTCCCAACGCGCATAATACCATATCTGGAAGCACATAAATTAATCCTGCCACACCAGTTTTAATTCCGAAGAAACCATGGAACAACGAGCAAGCTAACAGAATAACATCAGAAATTCGGTCAGCTTTCGAGCATCGAGAATATTGTATCGCTAAAGTCCGAGTCAGGCTTTATGGTCTTATGTATAAAATAAAAAAGGCATTTGCTTATCTACACCCACAAGTTCCTCGAGTCGTATCTCAGCAAAATCGGACGAATGCATGATTGAAGCTGCCTGGAGTATAAGATCCTGCTTTACTACTCAACTCTGAAACCCATTTGGAGAACAAAAAGAAAAGCTACCTGAGACCCAAATTCTCTCGCTCGGGGATTTAATCGGGTTTCCAGTAGAATCCGCCTGCGACGCAACGACCTCCCAAACCAGCTTTAGTGTTAAGTTTAATTAATATTATAAGATTTGATACACTTATTGTTAAGTCTCGTAAGAAGAATAAAAGCCAAATAATAATTAAAAACAAGAGAGAACGCTATAGTCGAGTGCCTCGACTATTAGATACCCGTTACTCAGCTAAACAACTTAATATAAATATGCCTTCTTGTGTTTTTTTTTTAACATAATGTGAATTATAGTGACCACAGGAAAAAAGGACAAAGAGTTCAAATTATCAATTTGAATTCGGCGATCTCTTAGTGCTGGCAGCTTTACAGCACGAACATCAGCACCAGCGCTGCTTTAGCGCAGGCAGCTTTTGTCCTGCACCAGCAGCTGTGTTTATGTTTATGTTTTTGAGTGCAATAAATTGACTAGAAATATTAAACATACATACTTATATTGGCTAAACACATACATTCTTAAATAGTATTATGTATATTAAAGTCTAAATGTTTGCACAACACGAGTAACGGGTATAGCGAATAGCTTTCTTTGAAAGGAGTTATCTTTGCCGGGCAATTGCAACTGTGTACAATGTAAATACATACATGTATATGCTTACATGTATATGCTTACATACATACATACATACGCCATGGTTTGACTCAGATCTCCAATTTGGCTAACTAGATTTGATTTGCATAGTTCTTGGGATATAGTTCGGTATTGACAAATGAAAACCATCGCAATTTCCTTTAATAGAAATCCTTATCGAGAATTAACGTTGACTCTGTTGAGCACCTTGGCCAGCTGTTCCAAAGTCATCCGTTAGATGGCGCCATGAAAGGCGGAAATGTAGGCGCTAGCCAAGCTTAAGCGTTTAATGGGTTTTTGGGCGTTAGAGTGGGCGAAATTGTTATTTATAGTTTAGTTTCTCCTTTTCATATAATTCGAATTAAATGACATCGAATTCCTAGGTATATAATTATCGTTCCCGGTTGTTATATAAGGAATGTGCCGAAAAGAAACTGCACACACACGTTAAAAGCTCTATTGGAGATTTGCCAAAAACTGTAAGAAAAAATCCACAGGATAATAGTGTTGATAAGAAGGTATTAGCCTTATTTCATGATCGAGATTTTGCAAAGAAACCCCATAATATTACAAGTAGTAACATTAGTATAACTTAAAGACATACAAACAAATAGTTCCCAAAAAAGTAAGAGTCGGAAAAACGAGTGTCCGTAAGCTCTATCATCCCTTGGACTCAAAAGCTTTAGCAGGACCCCAATTTTATACAAAAAGTAAATGTGGAACAGTGTACGACTCAGTGTGCAAAATAATAAATTTGAACAGAAACCAGCCTACTTTTCACAAAGGGCACAATTAAAGTAGACGTTTATCAGAAAGAGTGTTTAAAAAACGTCTGATACCTTTTTATCAAAAATAACATAGACGTTAGTTGGTACTAAAAACATCAAATTTCGCCCCATTAAGAGTTATTGGGCCATTGTAAAGCGCAACTCAATAAAGAACAATAGTCTCCACGAAAATAGGAAGGACATTGGGTGCGTGCAGTAGTATTAGGTGATTTTAATATATCTAGTGCTACTTGGTCCCCGTTGAAAACTGGAATATGTTACTTCATTTAGCGCACCATGACTTTATTGATTGCTTGACATTGCGCTATCTCAAGTTAACCAATTTAAAAATATCAATATTAAGGACGTCACCACTTACGCTACCGGAAGATCCTATCACTCAACTCTAGAGCTTACTGTAGATGTAATATCAGAGTTGAATGAAAAATCGGAAAAGTCTGTGAAACGAATCCACAGCTATCGTAGGGCTATCTTTCAAAGCTTAAAGACCTTTATAGCTGGGTTTGACTAGTCCGAACTTTATTCACGTATTAAACTGGCTGAAGCCGTAATAGCATTTATAATTCATTGAAATCCTTCTTTTGTATTTCTTGTGTATTTAATTTTTTCGCTGTGGCTTTAAAATCAGTGAATCCAGCTAACCCTCATAGTATACTCAGTCCGGACTACCGGCTGAAATCCCTATCTGTGGTTTACAAAAATCTTTTGATGTGTTGTCTTATATACAACACAAAACTAAAACCGATTACCGATCGCAAAGGTGAATAAAGTTGTATTTCATCTTTCAAGAACACTGACCCAAAGAAGATTTTTAGAGTCTTTTTATTATCTGGCGACTTTGGGACGGATAATAAGGTGGCAAAAGACTTCGAAGCTAAGATTTGTTTGTTCATTTTTAAAGAACTCGTGGGAGCGAGACTTCCTAGTCGATACCAAACCAGTGTATAATTTGCTATATTATTTTGTTCCTATTGATGTTAAATATACCCACAATCTTATTAAAATGTTTTGCTCTAATAATAAAAAAAAATTACCAAGACAAATGGAAATATAATTCCCTTCCAGCGAATTAAAGGAATTTTTAACACACTTTCTAAACTGTCCCATAATAATAATACAATAAAACATACCGTTGCTCAATCTTCATTCCGTGCTGGCAGATGTAGTATTTATTACAGTCTTGTTCGTGGGGCAAGTAGTTTTTGCCGTCGCATTCAAAGGCTGATACCATCTGAGTATGGTTCTTTATATATTCCTCCTGTGTAGTAGGACCAAGAAATGGATGTGCGTTTACGGTGGGCTTGATGGACGGCTTGCCGCTTGCTACTAGGGATCGGTATGGACTATATATATAAAAATACGGGTCATAACTAATAAGTACTTACTCATTGTCTTTTCGCTTTTTTCAAGTAAACACTTTGGATGTGGACCTCCAAAACCTCTCAGCACACGATTAATGGTTTTCAGCAGGGGATAGGACTCACATCCGCAGTCATTTTTGAAGTCGTCCAGATCCAGAGCCCAGATCATGGCTCCGGCAAGACCCATTGCCTTGATGTACTCGCTTTTATGCCGAATCATGGGAGCATCGTCAAAGGATACCCACTGATCTCCCAAATAAGCAAATGGTCCCATCCGACCCCTGGCATCCCTCACCACGTTCCAACTGCGCTGGCGGATGTACGAGCAGATCTCATAGTACGCAAGAAATCCTCTTGCCCTTGTGGCCTCACCCGCCTCACCACCACCGTAGGTGGGCGCATTTAGCTGATGCTCACTAGGCGCAGCCAGCGAGAACGACTGACCATACATGGGCATTCCCATTACCAATTTCTGACGCTCAGCTCCCTTTGATATCCAGTAGTTTATAGAGAAATTGGCGTTGAAGTTAGCCGTTCCTTCGGGGTGGTCGTACATGGGCGCAACGTGACCCGTCTGCTTGTCCCACTGTCCGTGGTAGTCGTAGGCCATAACTGAGATCCAGTCAAAATAGCGGGATAGTTCGGGAACATCGTAACCGGCATCGATTACCTTTTTGTTGGGGGACACTGCAGCAGAGAGGATTAAGCCCTTCGGCCGGAATGATTGCGACAGCTCCCGCACCAGGGCAGTGAATCCATTCTTTTCATCGACTGTACCTTTTTTACAATCCACTTGCCAGCACACTGGGTACTCCCAGTCAAGGTCCAGCCCGTCAAAGTTATATTTCTCGATGAATTCTAGGACGTGTCGAATGAAACGGGCTCGTGCCTCTGCGCTTCTTACCAGTCGGGCATACTTATCGCCAGCAGAGTCGTTCCAACCCCCAATGGCAACAGTTACCTTAGCGCCCTTCTTGCGGTGGGCCACAACTCGTTCATAGAATTTGTTATCTAAGTCCGCCCAGGAGTCATGAGGCTGTATCGTCAGCTTTTCCCGGTTCAGTACAGCGAAGCCATACACTATGTGGGTGCAGAGATCGGCGTCAATATCTTCTGGCAAGAACTTTCCTTCACCTTGGCGATACCAAGCCCAGTTTGTAAAGTAGCAGATGACCTTAAATTTCATGGACAAACTATTACTAGGAATCGGGTCGTTTGATTCCATTTCAAAGTCTTCCTCCTCAAAGTCCACATTTTGTTCCACTTCGTTTTCTTCTAAACCCTCTAAGGATTCTCCCTCATTGCTGTCCTCTGCCTCCACTTCAATAGGCTGTATCGAAACAGCTTCAGCCACGCCCTCTGCTCCATCGACCGACTCTTCCGACTCTACACCAGGAACGCTCGCAACCGAAGAAGTTCCTGCTTCTTCTGAAACGGATTGCTCCTCCACAGACTCTAGACCGACGGGAGCTAAGACAGCTACAGAAATCAGATTAATTATTAATACAATTGTATAGGGCTAAACTTACGCGCTGCTTGTACAAAACTCGGTGGATCTTTAAGCACATCGTGAATCTCACGTAGCAAAGGATACACGCCATTTCCACACCGATTGCGAAAGTCATCGAGGTCGAGGGCCCAAACCATGCCTCCACCCAGGTCCAATGATCTCACCAATTGGGACTTTTTCCGAATCATGGCTGGATCGTCGTAGGACACCCACTGTGTTCCTTTGCGGGCATACGGACCCATGCGGCCAAATTCATCCTGGACTACCTCCCAGCCCTGGTGGTTAACCCGTTCGCAAATCTGTGTAGAAAATGTTCAGATGTTCATTATATTTTTGATGCTAAATGCTCGCTACGCTTAATTGTATTTTCCAGTTAACGCCACAAGCTTTGACTTACACAAATATATTAATAAAGCAGTTTATTTTGTAAAATGTTATTATTGTGCAAGGCTTTTAATTTCGTAATTCTGTTCTGTGTTTTCGTTTCTTGTAACCCCGCCGCATTCCGGCGGATCTGCAGCTGATTGCAACAAGCCCTCAAATGTTGCTAAGATCAGCAGTTAAAAAAGATTCAGTATCCAAACAATCCGTAGCAGAATGCATGCAACCAGGGACTTCTATATGCTAGAGACATTTCATCTTTCAAGATAACTGTCCCTTACGAGCTTTTTGAAGCCATATGCTCGGGCAACTTCTGAGGCTAAGATAAAGTAGGAGCCCGTGGGAGTCAACTTCCTAGTCTAGGCCATCCACTGTACCAATTTCAAAAAAACTAACTTCTAACCTCCTTCTTTCCTATCAGAATACAAGAGGCTTGCATAGCAAGCTCACTAAATTGAATTCTGATAGCCTTTCCTTTGCATTTCATATTATAGTGTGTTCAGAAACCTACTTAAAGCCGGAAATCTTTAGCTCCGAAGTTTTCCAGGTAAACACACAATATATAGGAATGACCGTCCCTCTAGATGGGGAGGTGGGTCTTAATTAGAGTTGACTCATTGAGCACACAGAGAGAATTTCCACGTTCTTAAATTGAGTACTTAAATTAAATTTTTATTTTAAATTGGGAAATATACATATAGCAATAGCTGTACTACTGTACATAGAGACCACCCCGTCACAAAAATTGACTAAATTATAATTTTAATACTAATGTTAATACTAATTAATGATCAACAATAAATAAATGAAACCAAACCAATTTGGTTCAGTACAAAGCTACGTGCAAGCAAAGTTTTACACTAGGGGTGGGGTAAGAAGAGTAGGAAATGATCGCCGCTTCCATTTTTTTCTCGGTATTAAGTAATTGAGTATTTTCTCTGTTTTTGCGATCGGTGCAGCGAACGCCAACAGTGAAAAATACAAATTAAATGAAATCGGAAATTTATTCTACTGTGCTTTTTTATATTGGTTTTGCTTGTCATACAAAAAACTCACTTTATCTAAGAAACCTATGCCTTATTATTAATTACAACTCCCCTCGTGGTTATCCTAACCCTCGTTTACCCGACCCTAAAAACACCCTAAAATCTCCGCGCGACCTATAATGGTACTCTCCAGACCAGTGTTTCGGTGATTTACAAGTTTCTTGCAAAGGTCACTTAGTGTAGTTTTTATAATAAAAAATTACAAAAAAATCAAGTTTTGTAAATTATTTACAATTGTGTAGCAAAAAAAAGTGTTGATAGAAAATGTTAAACCGTCGTCGCATGCAGACGTGTATTTATTGTGCTCCGGGAAAAAGTATTCAATAAAATCACAAAAGTGCAGTGACCGTTTTAATAAATCTACTATAACGCGAAAAGACGCTTTCTGCGATGAAATCGCGAATGTTTATATTGATTGGTCATTTAAATAATATAAAACTTAACACCTTAAACTCTAATTAACTTTACCATGAATACAATGACGCACAACGTCAACGTGAGCAAGACGAGAGACGGCTCTCAGTACAAAGAAATAACGCGTACTTCTCTTTTAAAGCAACCGAAAATAATGCAAGCTCTGATCAAGCGAGGGCAATTACCCCCAACTTGACAAAATTCTTAAACGTAGCGAGCGAGAGAGCGCGTTCTGGCTCCCCCTCGCTACCATCGACGTCTCTGCGGCCAAAGAGCGCTGAATGTGATCCAATGCAGGTATGCAATAACCCAGTCTTCCCATTGATCTACCGCCTTCGACTAACAAAAATGCTAGAACACAAAGAAAACAAGAAAGGAAAGCTAACTTCGGGCGGAGCCGAAGTTGATATACCCTTGCAGAATATTCTGTAAATTATATTCTCCAAAATTATTCATATGATGCATTCTTAATACTCATAAAAAATCCCAACTTCCTAACTTTAAAAACACCAAAGTTATGGCATTTCCAATCGTTCAGTTATATGGCAGCTATAGGATATAGTCGGTTGATCCTTATGAAATTTGAAAGGTTGGATTGATTGGCTAAAAATAAAACCCATAGAAAATTCCAACTTCCTAACTTTACAAACACCAAAGTTATGGCATTTCCGATCAATCAGTTATATGGCAGCTATAGGATATAGTTGGCCGATCCCGGCCGTTCCGACATATATACTGCGTGCAAAGGAAAGAAGGATGTGTGCAAAGTTTCAACTCGATAGCTTTAAAACTGAGAGACTAGTTTGCGTAGAAACAGACAGACGGACAGACGGACATGGCTATATCAACTCAGGAGGTGATCCTGAGCAAGAATATATATACTTTATAGGGTCGGAGATGTCTCCTTCACTGCGTTGCACACTTTTGACCAAAATTATAATACCCTCTGCAAGGGTATAATGAAGTGAAAAATAACACAATAAAGAAGAACTTTATTGTTAAATTTGTATTAAACTCTCCTAACAAAGTAATAAAAACTGTAGAGCACTCAAAATAAATGACAAAACGTAAAAGCAAATAAAGGGGACTTCAGGATAATAGGCAGATTTTAATGAACATTTTTTTTACACACTCATTAAATGTCTTTTGTTTTGGAAATAAACTTAAATAATTTGTTCTAATTTACATTACGTTTCGTACGAGTAATTTTTATGGAAACTTTAAAACTGTTTCACAACGCCTAGAACAGAATCTACTATATTAATCAAGGAGAGTAACAACCACCCTGATGTCACAAAACAAAAATCGCAAGCAATCAATTCTTAGTCAAATCTAGTACTCGGTTTTTCTTTCAGGTTCGTCGCTATTAACAATATTATTTGGCATTTAAAATCAAATAAAAACAAATGCCGTTGAATTAAACAATTAACACAATTTTGCTATACACATTAGTAAAAGAACGCGAAAATTGCATTTGAAGTTGAACTAGCAATATTTTTAGAAGCTGGATAATGGGTAAAATATGATAGAGCAGGGTCCAAATATATATATTAGCTCCAATATCTTAACGCGGCTGATAATTTATGCTTAATAACACTTCTTAAACTAATTACTATTTTTATACCATTGCAGAGGGTATTTTAATTTTGTTCGAAAGTGTGCAACGCAGTGAAGGAGATCGCCTCCTGAGTTGATATAAGCATGTCCGTCTGTCTGTTTCTACGCAAACTAGTCTCTCAGTTTTAAAGATTTCGAATTGAAACTTTGCACACACCCTTCTTTCCTTTGCACACAGTATATATGTCGAAACGGCCGGGATCGTCCGACTATATCCTATACCTGCCATATAATTGAATGATCGGAAATGCCATAACTTAAGTGTTTTTGAAGTTAGGAAGTTGGGATTTTTTATGAGTATTTAGAATGCATCATACTTGTATGAATAATTTTGGAGAATATAATTTACAGAATATTCTGCAAGGGTATATCAACTTCGGCTCAGCCCGAAGTTAGCTTTCCTTTCTTGTTACTAATGGTATTGTTCTTGAAGTGATAAAGGTGGATTTTTAATCACTGTAAGTTCTGTCAAACTTCAAAAAAATTTCTCAAAACCGTTAACATGGTTTTTTTGTTTTTAATGTAAACACAAAAAATGATAGAAATTTGGATCTTTGGAAATGGGGACATTTTTCTTTTTCCGTTAACTTTGGTAAGAGGACATCTGTTGTTTTTTAACTTTATATAGTTTGTATTTTAATGTATTTTAATACGTTAATTTTTTTTTTTTTAATACATTATTAATTTTGTTTTTCGTTACAAATTTATATTTTTTGTATATCATGGAACAATAGCTGGCTTTAATCTAATTAAAAGCCAAAATTTTGATTGGAAATTTTGGGATATAAAATGTAATATCCATTCTTTTTTGAAAAACCTCATTTCTGATTCGAAAATGTGGAGAATGTTGTGGAACCACTGATTTTGTGAAGGTTTTTGATGCAAATAGCTCAGGTCCGAATTATAAAAATATACAGCCTTTTGGAACCATGGCCTCGAGTACTTCAATCATTTGATCGAAGATATGAATTTTGGTTAGAAGACTTAAAAAACAATTGCTTAAAAATACTTTGGGATTCGTTACTTGTGCATCATTTTTTACCATATGCCATTATGTTTTAGGTGCAATACTGCGTAATCTAATTTAAATACTTAAATATAAAACTTCGTTTTATAGGTAAGCCTTAGAATTAGATTGATTTGTATACAAATAATTTCTTTGAATCCACCGGTCCTTTTCAGAATTTTTATCGAATGACAAAATGACCCAAAAAAATATTTGGTTGGAATCTGTTGTGAACCATTTGTGTTTATGTTTTACAATGCAAGAAAAATATTTAATGCAAGTTAGAGAAAAACGTTTTTTAAAAGTTTTCTCCACTTTAGCAACACTTTTTTTCTAGCGTTCTGCAAAATGTCGAAAGTACATAATACTAGATCTGAAACCTCTGAATACTACTAACGCCCATACATTAAAAATCAACATAGGTCCAACATTCTTTGCCGCAAAAACTCAGACAAAGCTAAGGTGTTTATCAAGAAAAATGTTGTTCTTTTAAAGGAAAATCCGATCGCGGTCTTTTAAGTCAAAACTGGCCTGTCGCGTCTAAAACTGAAACGTATCAACGATCGTATTTTTTTCTGCGCTCCGATTTTGTATGCTTTTTCGTTTAATCCTATCGGTGGGTTAAATTAAAATATTCTTCATGTTAGTTATTTAAATATACATTTAAATTCCGTTCGCGAGTAAACTAAAATTGTTTTAATTTCGTAATTCTGTTCTGTGTTTCTTGTAACCCCGCCGCATTCCGGCGGATCTGCAGCTGATTGCAACAAGCCCTCATATGTTGCTAAGATCAGCAGCTAAAAAAGATTCAGTATCCGAACAATCCGTAGCAGAA